GTTCCACACACTGGGCTTTCTGGCGCTCACCGGGCAGTGCGTTCTCATCCCACATGTGTGGGAGGGAAGAACAAACAGGGAAGGGAGCAAGGCAAAGGGCCTGATTGCCAGACTCAGGTACTCTCCAGCTGTGTCATCAGCCCACCTTCCCGCCCTCACGCAGGGAGGGGACAGGTCGTCTTAGGTGCCAGCATGGAAGAGAGGACAGAAGGCGCTGGGAACGCGTTGAGAGGGCACCTGAGGCAGGCAGGCTGCTGCCTGCAGGGAGCAGGGCCATTTTATAGGATCTCCCCGAAGAAGGGACCTCTCAGCTGAATTCTGAGCACTCCGTTAGCCAGACCGAGGAGGAGGACAGGAATTTTCGTAAAGCTAGCGATAACTGCGACGTCGCAGAGATGAGAGAGACATTTATGTTGCTCTTTGGGGAAAGGACAGGGGTGGGGGGCCAGGGTGAGGTGGGACAAGCTATGGGGAGCCCTGTACACCAGGTGAGGGCGTTGGGACTTCATCCTGAAAGAGAACAGTCATTGCTGGTGGATGGGGAGGGACAGCCGTGTGTCACCCTTACACTCTGAGGGACGGTCGGTCGGGTCACCCGCCAACAGAGGCCACAGGGAGAGACGGGGCTTAGAAGATTCCCAAATAGCAGGTGACCCAAACAGGGCTGGTGACTGATGGGGGGTGACAGCTTGGGTGCAGAGGCATCTGGGAAGAGCCTCCAGCAGTGGGCCTGATGCCTGTGGGTAGCTCTTCAGGGGAGGGGGACCAGAGCAGCAGGGTGGTCACTGGATGGGCCAGACATTGGGATGCCCACCTGCCTGCAGGAGCGGGGGACACAGGTCATGTGGCCCGGGGAGGGAGGGGCTTCTGGGAGAAGTCTGGAGTTGGGCCAGTGGAGGTGCATGGAAGTGAGCCTGGAAAGGGTCTCAGGAGGAAGAAGACTCTCTGGCTTTGATTTGGATGTGAAGCTGGAAGTGGGTGTCAAATACCTTATACTCGCTCAGCTCTCATTTGATGGTACCATGTGTCTTCTCTCTGGCCGGTGTCATGCCCTGAATAGGAAGCCCAGGCTGGAGCAGACCCTCACCAGCCAGAGTTAGGGTTAGGGTTAGGGTTAGGGTTAGGGTTGGGGCTGGACCTCCCAAGGCCCTTGGCCCCAGCTCTGGAGTAGAAGCTTCTAGTCTCCTGCAGGGTAAAGCAGAGAGTGACCAGGCCCTCACTGAGTGCAGCCCCCTTCCCCGGCCTCCTAGCCCTCCTCGCCCCACCTGTTCACAGAACCCCATTCCCACTGCACGCCCTCTGCCTCTGTCAGGGGTCCCGGATGTCAAACTGCCCTAAAACACACACAGACTTCTGTTGGACTGTGTTTGCCTGCATTCTTCGCTGAACATCCCTTTATGTTTTAGGATCCAGAAAATGATTCTCTTTGAAAACACTGACAAGGCTCCTTTCATCCAATAATGATGATTATATAATCTGTGGTTGTTTTTATTGCCTTGGCTGCCTGTGGACTTGGGCTCATTTTAGCAAATTGGAGGGACTCTCTAGATTTCTGACCACATTTCTCTTTATTAGGTGCTTTTTAACTTTGTTATTTCTGCATTTAGCATTTTCTTTCAGATATATCTCCAATTTTCAGGGAGTTTTTTATGATATATTGTGACATACATCCCTACATTATGGATTTTTTAAATCTTGCCCCTATTAATTACTCTAAACAAGTAACACAAGTATGCATTTATTGCTGAGGCCTGGGAGTTGGGCCAAGAGAGTTGGGATTGTTGGATCAAATCCTAGGGCTGCTTGGGAAGCCCTGTACTTTAACCTTCATCCAGGGGTGGGACACCCCATCGTACACAGCACTTCGCAGACGTCACAACAACACTTTGTCTTAATGATTCCTTACGAAATGCCAAGATTCTCACTGTAGAAAAGGAGCACTAAGAGCAAGATGAAATCACTTACTTTCTGCTACAATCCAATACTGGTGTGACCTCGGGCGCTGGCCATTCATCCTTCACCCGCTGACCAGGCAGAGACCAGAGCGGGGCGGGGGGGTGACTCTCTGTCCGGGCCCCGCATCGGGGTTCTTGGGCACATTCTCAAACTCTTCTCACCAAGAAGTTCGAAGCAGGAAGAGGAGAGAGAAGGCCCTCATGCCGTAGGCGATCTTCCAGGGAGAGCTGGGGACGCAGCCGAGCGGCTGGCTGGGCAGATGGGAAGGTGCTATCTGCCGGGAACCTCCGCTGGCACCAGCCAAATGTTCCCCAAGCAGCCGCCGCCCGTGTCTGCATCAGGCTGACCTGCAGGCCTCCCGTCCCTCGAGGAGGCCTGGGCTCTGGGCAGCCCTGGCATCGGGCACACTTTCCCATGAGCATCAACAGGAGCAGACAGGATCATGTGCTCAGCGATCTGATCAGAACTCTGGCGAACACTCAGCCTCGAGTGAAATCGTCCACGGCAGCAAAATCCCTGCCGTGGGGACACTCGGAGACTCTGTGCTGTTGCTCGCAGTCCTCACCAAGATGGCCTTTGCTCTCGGAGTTGGGACAAGGGTGGTCTTTGGGCCTGAAGTTTGAAACCAGGCTCCTCTGCCCACATTCTCATCTTCGAGGGTCTAACGGATCAGGGAGACCCTCCGGGCAGGGAGGGGCCGAGCACCCCTAGCACCAGGACAGAGAGTCCAGCTTCTGCCCTTTAAGCCAGGTCAGCCTATCCCCTCCCTCAGACACTCGACAGCAGGCGGCCTCTGGGTTAGGAAACCACAAGGTCCCAGTCACACAGGACACATCCCCAGCCTTGCAAAAAAAATCATTAAAAAAATAAAACAAAATAAATAAGATAAAATAACATAAAATATCAGGACAGCTTGCATCCCCTCTGTGTCTGGGCTCTGATGCTGGACATGGGCTTGGACTGATGGCCCTAGTGTTCTCTGCAGCGCTTTGCCCGTACTTCCTGGACCTACTCTCAGCCTGTGGGTCCTTTTCCATGGACCTTTGGCTCAAGGTGCACTCCTCAGTGCCATCTATGCCTCAGCAGACTCCTAGCGGGGTCAGGAGAATCTGGCCTGTTATCTCTAGGACAATCTTCAAGGGCCTCTCTGGAAGGTATGAGGTATTCCTAAGTAAGTGAAGGTGTCTCACTTACAAAGGCTCTGAGCTGAGAGAGTAACCAAAGGTCAGTTCCAAATCAGCCTGTCTTATCCTGATTTGCATCCAGGAGCTGCACATCCTTTATGTCCGGAATCCTAAACCTCCAAGTTGGAGGGACCATGCTTGTCATCTACCCCTCGTGGAAGGCCTTCTATACAAATACCTTTGAGTTTTTGTGAAATAACCGAAACTCCGTGTTCGGAGATGGTCAAGAGTTCTTACAGACAAATGTGACGCAAAAGGGAAAACAACATCACGAGATTCAGAGAACATGAAGACTCAGTTTTGTTGAGACCATAGAGGGCTTCAAGAAGTCATGGAAGGCAGGATGGGAGGGCAGAAATGATTCGGATGGAGACACAAGGGGAGGCCCGGCCCCTCCCTTCAGAAGCAGAGGAGATATGAGGAGGATGCGAGGTGGGCAGAGGGTCCACAGAGGCCGTGGAGGAGCAAGTGAGCCAGCCGGAGGGGAACCACAGGACCAGGCTAACGGACTCAACTCATATTGACTGCGGGAGCAGGTGAGGGAGGCAGGGTTTGGCTGGAATTTCATGGAGAGACCAAGGAATGGGTGAATAGTTCTTTGAATTATTGATGGATTTTCTTCACTCAACAAACATTCACTAAGTGCCTGCTGGTATTGTATCCCAGACATGGCAGAGCTCAAGGTTCAGTTGAGGGAGATGCTCATACAAAAACTAAATACAACAGAATATAAGTTGCGTAGGCTTGTGAGGACAGTCACATAAGCTGGGTGCATTGGTGTGGAGGGGCAGGAAGGTTCTCAAGGTCGAGGAAGCGTGTGAGCAAAGGTCTGGAGCAGAGTGTCCTGGAGAGGAGCCTGGCAGCCTCCTGTGCGCCCTGGGACTGGAGACACTTGCCTCGTTGAAGGGGGGGGGGCATGAAAAGGTTTTAGGGAGATGATAGGACTTCGTTAAAGGCCCAGAGGAATGCTGGGCTGGGGTGGAGGCTGGGGCCAGAGGGGGGCTGCCCACTGGGAAGCAGGAGGTGTGGGAATGTGCAGAAGGGCCACCTTCATGGGACACGGATGGAGCAACCTTGGTGAAGGGCAGGGACCAAGGAGGAAAGATGGCACCTCAGGGTGAAGGGGGAAGGAAGACGTCTCAGAAGGAGGCAGAAGCCAGCATTAGCAGGGGTGACAGACGATGAGGATGGGAATAGACTGTTGGTGGATGTGGGTCCTGATCGGAATGTGCACGTGTAACAGGTAACAAATCTGCCCACGGTCCAGGTTTATCATGTTGTTAGCCTTACGCATTGTAGTCGCAGGCATGCTAACTCACTTATGTGATGACCGTGGTGTGTGTGAGCTAGGTGAGTATTTAGAATAAAAGTATCTGCATGGGAGATACGACCATCATATAGTTGCATTTATTTAGAAACTCATAGTCTGTAAACTTCAAGGGACATAAACTCTCATCTGCTTTGTCACTCACTGACTCTGAGAGGGAGTCAGCTGACTTGCTTGGATGTCAGTTTACCCATTTGCAAAATTAGAGTGTCCGACTCATTATTTTCACAAACAACAACAACGGTGAGTACAACAACAGGTGGGAGCTGTTGGTTCTACCTAAGCAAGTTACCGTTGGCTGATGATGCACTCAACTTTCTTCTTTGTGTCCGACATTAATGGATTCCTTCATGCATACTCTCCATCTCCACTGGTGACATGGTGGACTGAAAACTTGTTAGAATAGGAAAAAATTATACAAAAAAATGTATCTATGTTCTGTCTTCAGGACGGCTAAATACTGCTGACACTGTTGTGAAGAATCAGCTCTAAAGCCTGAGGCCCGCCGGGTAGAGCTCTCTTGCGAAACCCCATCACATGGCGGTCTCTGCTCCTGCCCCCTCCGCTGGCTTTGTCTGTTCTGAGGCAGCTGGCCTGGCCAGGTTCTTGGCCTCCAGGTACTCCACAGCCCCGTACGCCAGCATGGTCAGACTCAGGACTCCCAGGAGGATGTAGAGTTTGATGTTGACGCACAAGAACGTGCTGTATCCAAATGCAATGACGAGCCCCAGCGCTTCCCACAGGCGGTAATTCGCAAAGGCAGCCTCCTTGTTCTTCTCGAACAGAACGCCGTAAAGAGCTGCAGAGGACACATGGCATGAACATGTGGCCGCAAAACCTCAAATGGTTTTTTTCAATTATTGCTGAAAGCAGTGCAGCTTCTCCGCTGACCAATTTTGTCAACAAAGTCAGGAAAGTTTCCTTCTTAAAAGGACAGAATTGTTTTCTGTTGGGGATTATGGACGTCTGGAGACATTCGTTAGCAGTGAAGAACCATTATACATACAATTCGGGACTCAGGCAATGTTAGCACTGGACGGAGTTAGTCCAGCCTATCACTCGGGGAGTGAGAACGTAGAAAAGTGAAGCAGAGCTTAGAGGCCTGGCCTGTGTCAGATGAGGCCTGGCCCTTTGCTGGAGTCCAGAAGCAAAGACAAACACAAGCAATCCTAACCCCAGGACCTCAGGCTGTGACTGTATTCAGAGACGGGGCATTTAAAGAGGAGATTAAGGCAAATGAGGTCATTAGAGAGGGCCCTCATCCCACGACTAGTGTCCTTATAAGGAGAGAGGGTCAGGACACAGATGTGCACATAGGGACGACCATGTGGGGACACAAGGAGAAGGCAGCCGTCTACACGCCAAGGAGCGAGGCCTCAGCAGAGGCCAGCCTGCCCACCCCTGGGTCTCAGACCTCCAGCCTCCAGAATCGTAAGAAACAAAAATGTCTGTTGTTTAAGCCGCCCATCTGTTGTACTCTGTTGACAGTCCTAGCAGGATAGTACAGTCTGATAAATGCTTCTAGGTGAAAGTAAATGATTTTTGTTCCAGTTTGCAGGATGGTAAAATATTTGATATACCTGGATGAGAACCAGAAGCTCCCCATCTCCTGAGCTGAGTGAGGTGGCCGATGTGTAGAGGGGGTTAACAGCTAGGAAGCTGAGGCCCAGTGCTGGCCCATCCTGCTCTGTCGTCCTGAGCTGCCCGGGCCACCTCCCCTCCCCTCTGGCCGGTGGCCTCGCCTCTTCACCAAGGACACCTCCCCTCGTGCACTCCATCCACCGTAACCCAGAAAGGGCCCTGCACAGAGGCCCCCCTCTGCTACCGTCCCCTCGGGGACTTCACCCCATCATGGAACCCCTGTCCTGCACCTTCAGCCTGACTCCCTCTCTTACTCCTTCTCTTCAGTCTAGAAACAAAGCCGGGTCTTTCCCACATGTCACACACGCTGGGTTCAGATCCCTTGTGCCTCTGTCTACACCGCTGCCTGTCTACACCCTACTGCATGGCAGGCACAGCACTGAGTCCTGCAACATGAAAAGGCATGACGTCTGCTGTCGAGGAGCCCACAGCCCATTAGTGGATTTGGACTCCGAACGTTTGGATCTCCTCTCCATGTGACCCACCTGTCTCGCCTGGACTGTTCACTGCCTTGTCTCTCGTCTGCTCCACACTGACCTATTTCCTCCTTTCTGGTCTTACTTTGCTCCGTGTTACTCCCCACATTGTGGCTAGGATGATCTTTGCAAAGTGTAAATATGTCATGTCACTCCCACTCGGGGAAGTCTTCGGCAACCCCGCCCGGCTCTGGGGTAGATCAAGCATCTTCTCCTCATGGGGGCAGGTCCCTCTGTGACCTGACCTTTTCACTCCAGGGCACCGCCTGTCACCGTGGAGCGTGCCCCCCTGCTTCGGGCCCACTGACCATGCTTCTGGGCCTTGTGCCTTTGCATGTGGCAGGCCTGGTGGGAAGTGCCCTTTGCCAGACCTCTCTGGTGATGGTCCCCCTGTGGTTCTTCTGTCAGGTTCTCCGTGATGCCATCCCACCAAGTGTCTCATTCTTACCCAGAATAATTCCAATGCTCTCATAGTGTCAGCCAAAGCACTGAGTGAATGACCAAGTGGACCAGTGGATGGACAGTGACTTCCTGAAGTCAGTAGGGCGCCAACGGGTAAAACCCCAAGCCCACATCCTGCGGGGTAACCACAAAGGGAGCTGCCTGTTCGTCTTCTCTCCTTCTAGTTATTACCCAAAAGCCCACCCCGGGATGGAGTCGAGGTAACACAGGACGTGCAGCCAGAGCAGAGCACAGGCCAAGGTGCCGTGTTTGCCCATGAATGAGACAATAGGTAAACAGAAATATCAGTGTGGTCCTGTAGCATGCGGGGTGGGGGGAGATGAACAGCAAGTCCTACGTCTGCCCCCAGCCCCAGGGGCACCAGCCATGATCTGCACCAGAGACTGTTCTTTCTGGGGCAGCTGGAGTCTGGAAAGTTGTAGGGATTTTGCTAGGACTGCCCGTCCGGCAGGATGGGCAGCTGTGGGAGGGAGATCCCACGTGGAACGTTCACACACATTCCTTTGCCTGCTCTCATCCTGTTCTTACCCTTTGCCCCTTTCCTCCTCCCTACATTTCGCAGGGGAGGGACGTAGGGAAGAGAAGCCTCTCTGGCACTGGTTTGAGGCCAGCAGCAAGGTCTCCTGCAACCCTGTCTGGAAACGTCAACACTCAGAAGGTTCTTGGCATTTGGTTACTCGGCTGTTTGCCTACCATGGGAAGAACTCAGGAGGACGAGGCCATCAGAAAGATATAAGATCAGATATACGTCATAAACAACATTCGTGTGCTTGGGAAAACAAGAGGCTGTTTGGAAGGCTCAGAAGAAGGTGCCCTTGTTGTCCGAGGCTGTGAAGTGCCACCTTAATGAAAGCACACCCACAATGAGAGTCTAATAACAAGATCTGGGATTTAGTAACTCCTAAGGTTATTTTAAAGATTTCTTGTCTTTCTACAGATGGCCAACAGATACATGAAAAGATGCCCATCATCAGGAAATGCAAATCAAAACCACGATGAGATACCACCTCACACCTGTCAGAACGGCTAAAATCAATAACACAGGAAACAATAGGTGCTGGCGAGGATGCGGGGAAAGGGGAACCCTGGTGCACTGTTGGTGGGAATGCAAGCTGGTGCAGCCACTCTGGAAAACAGTGTGGACGTCCCTCAAAAAGTTAAATATAGAACTGCCCTATGATCCAGCAATTGCACTACTGGGTATTTATCCAAATAATACAAAAATACTAATTCAAAGGGCATCCCTATGTTTATACCAACATTATTTACAATAGCCAAATTATAGAAACAGCCCAAATGTCCACTGACTGGTGAATGGATGAAGAAGAAGTGGTGTTTATATACAACAGAATATGATTCAGCCATAAGAAAGAATGAAATGTTGCCATTTTTTGGGGGAGGGGTGAGGCAGAGGAGGATGGAGAGAGAGAATCTCAAGCAGGCTCAACACCCAGTGCAGAGCCCCAAGTGGGGCTCAATCTCATAACCCTGAGATCATGACCTGAACCAAAATCAAAAGTTGGATGCTTAGCCAACTGAGCCACCCAGGCTTCCCCAAAATCTTGCCATTTGAAACGACATGGATGGAGCTAGAGAGTATAATGCTAATTGAAATAAGTCAGCTGGAGAAAGACAAATGCCATATAATTTCACTCATACACGGAACTTTACAAGCAAAACAAATGAGCAAAAGGAAAAAGAGAGACAGAAAGAGAGAGAGAGAAACCAAGACACAGCCTTTTAACTATAGAGAACATACTGATGGTGACCAGAGGGGACAAGGGTGGGACGTTGGGTTAAACAAGTGATGAGGATTAAGGAGTACATTTGCGATGAGCACCGGGTGATGTGTAGAAATGTTGAATCACTACATTGTACACCTGAAACTAATATAACACTGTACGTTAACTAACTGGAATTTAAATAAAAACTAACTCACTAAATAAAGATCGCTTGTCTTTTGTTAGAGGGTGACACTTAAAACTGGATTCAAACATGAGATGCTAGTGAGGAAGATCCACATTTGAAACACAATGGCTGCGAGAGGTAGGTGTTTCCATGATCTGTGGCCAACAGGTACAAGGGTGCCGTTAGCAGATACAGAGCAAACACACCCCAATTCCATGAATATTCTAGTAATATGGCAACGCTAATTTTAAAGTAATGTGTTTGATCTATAGTTTGGCAGCTTTAGATTTCAAGATTAAATTTAGATTGTGATGATTATAAATTACCGAGTCGGGCTTTTCAGGAAATTACTCATGATCTGGATCCTATTTTACTCCGAACATAAAGAAAGCAACACATTAATTGTGTCAGATTCCAACAGTTACTTAGGGACATAGTGGGCAGAGGGGAAAGACATTCAAGAGAAAAACAAAGTAGGTAAAATCATATTTCAGCAATTCTGAAGTCACTTCACACGTAGACTAGGTTTGAACAAATAAGCAAAGTGGCGCGCACAGTGGGAGCCGGGCTTCTCCTTGTCAGAGAGGGAAGTCACGGATCATCAGCAGGGGGAGGGCCAGAATGAACCCGTGGTGCTGGAGGGGAGCCGGGGACCCCAGTGGGGACTCATCCTCACTTGAGGTCCCTACGGACAGGCAGATGCAGAAATGCAGATGTGTGCGCATGTGGGTCAGCACGCACACATCCATCTCCCCACTCTGGCCCAGAAGCCTTGTCATCTCAGATGCAGTGAGCATGCCCAGCACGCCAATCTTATTTTCTACCGCTGTTATCCAATCAAATGAACCCAGGGTCCGTGGAGAAACGGGTGATGCTAGTGCTGCCCCAGGAGATGGATCTGGAATAGTTTGTGGCACCGGGAGGTAGGGAAGTACTAAAACGGAAACAGATGGCTGGCAGAAGGCACAAGTACCCCCAGAAAGATCCCAACGGCCAAAGCTAAAACAGTTAGAGCAACAGAACAAGTAACATCGGTTGGACTGTGACCCAAAGGGCATAATACGTACATGAGCCCACAGCAATGAAGACAAATGGTTGAGTAAATGACTAAATAAACTGGGGAGAAGGGACAAACACTCCCGATGAAGGAATTATAGATGATTTTTGTACAGACTCTCCCTCTAGCAGGTGGAGGGTAATTACCTCCCCCTTGATTGTTGGCTAGATGTGGTGACTGGCTCCCCAAAATTGGCTGTGGAAAGGGAAAAGCAGCAACCCTGCCTGGAGAGGTCTGGCAGACACCGGGCTGGCCAGCAATCGAGGTTCACATCATCAGTGATGGATGTGATGAGAAGAGCACTTCACCCTGGGGTCTTCCTACCCAAAGCCCGTAACTCCAGCCTAATCATGAGAAACATCAGACAACCCCAAACTGACCAGTATTCTTCAGGAGTGTCAAAGTCATGAACAACAAGGAAGAGAAACTGTCACAGATCAGACCAAGGACGTGAGGCAACTCAATGCAGTGGGGACCCTGGGTGGGACCCTGGATGGGACTGCGGGGGGGACCATGGGAGGGATCCTGGGTGGGATCCTGGGTGGGACCCTGGGACACACAAAGTGGGAAAACTGGAGAAAGCCAAATAAAGTCTAAAGTTTAGTTGAGTCACGTACCAACACTAATTTCTTAGTTTTGACAAACATACCACTGTTTTGCAAGATATTAGCATTAGGGGAAACTAAGAAAATGGTATATGGGAACTCTCTGTACTGTCTTTGCCATTTTTCTGTAAACTCAAATTATTCCAAAATAAAAGGTTTATTTAAAAAGAAAAGAAGCCTTGCTCCCAGCCTCGTCCTCCCCAGGAAGGCGCGGGTGGGAGTGACCAGAGGCTGACCCCTGTCTGCGCATGAGGGGTGGACTTGGCATCGGGCAGTCTTGTTTGCTTGGAGAGGACGGGTCAGTGAACTGAGCATGTAACACAGGCAGATTTTCTGTGTGTATCAACCCGAGACAGCCCCTCCGGCGGCTACCAGGGCAAGCGAGCATTTTTAGACCAGATACTCTGAATCTCAAACGCAGCGCCTTGGTGTGCAAGGGTTTCTATGGCAATGGAACCCCTCTTTGCCGAACTGTCAGGGCGACTGAACAGACTGGAGCCGGTGGCCCAGATCCGTGGCTCCCAAGGCTGCCGGCGCCCCAGCCCCGTGGGACCGTGGAGCAGCGGTTCCACAGCCCTGCCCCAGGGAGGAGGGCCGGGGTGCGCGGGCATCCGGTCTGCTTCCACGCCAGGTTCTGAACTGAGAGGCAATGGCAGAGAGGAGGGTTAGGTTGCACCGAATCCTATTCGGCCTCATTAATTAGGAAAGGGCGTGGCTCCCCTCACGTGTCCTCCCAGATGAGAGACACACGTTCCGGGAGAATAAGATGACAAATCCAACCCGCTACTTAAAAAAACAAAAATGAGAGAGAGCTGCTCCGGGGGGTGTGGCGGGAGCTACGCAAAATTTGCAGTCTCCGTGAATACAGGGAGCCCGAGGACGCGCCGCGTGGCCGGGAGCCCGGCGCAGTCAGCCCGCAGGGGACTGGGTGATGAAAACATCGCTCCCCGCGAGGATGACTGCGAGCTTCGACTCCAGAAGAAACGCTCAGATAATGAAAAGAACAATTTCCCCCAACAACCGATGTTTCCTTGAAAAAAGTTAACTTTTTGTCGGCACATAAAGACAGAAATAATTCATTTTAAATTAGTACCCTTATTCCAGGGGGTCTTTCTTCAGCCACCCCCTGTGCTCGACTGTCCCAGGTGTTCGCTGGACCTCACCTAACCTCGTCCGCACAATCTCGACAAGGCTCTGCCTGCCAGGCTCTTCTGTCCTTGGCAAGAAAAGGACAGGGAAAACCGTCATCATTCCTGCGTCTCGGGGAGGAAGAAAGCCAAGCATGGTCACAGCAGTCGTCTGAAACATCTAGAGGATTACTGCATGCGGTATTATGTGACCCCGTACCCCAGTCCCCTGCCTGGCTTTTAATGTGTAAATGCTTTAAAATTGCCCGTGAGCTCAGCGGCCTCGGCTAACACCGTGGGAGGCAAGACGGCACACGCATGCCCTCGGGAACGCACGGGTCTCACTCCTGCAGGCGGGGGCTGAAAGAAGTTCTCTCCCGATGCTCCCTGGGGGGCGTGACTTGTCCCTGGTCTCCAGTTCTGGACTGCCCAAAAAGCTAAGGTGCTTCCGACTACCGTTCCTCGTGGAATCGGTACTTCTCTGGACTGACCCTGCGGGTTTCTGCGAACAGTTTCTGTCGCCGCTGCAACCACATTCCATCACGGCTCGGAGTCACACACCCGTCTGTCACCTGCTTCGGGAGCTGACGAAAGCCACCTGTGCCCCCGAGGCAGTAGGGAGGCCGGGAAGCCCGGACACCTGAATCCAGCAGACCGGATTTGTGCAAAGATGTTTATCCAACTGTTCTGTGAGCTGGCCACAACGCGGCTCGTGAGGAAGGAGCCACCGCAGGGACACCGAGGCCACTGTGGCCGTAGGGGCAGCGGCCAGGCCCCAGCCCTCGTGCTGTTTGCGGATGGCCTGACCCACTCTCTAGCCCCCACGTGTTTCCCAGCGCGGGGCTGGCCGTGATGTCACGAGGGGAGGAGGCTCTCTTCGGAGCCAAATCCTGGGGCGCCCGGCACCCCTTCCCGTCCCAGGCTGGAGACGGGCCTGTGGGAAACTCAGGGCTGTCATTCTCGGTCACCTCCTCAGATGGAAGCCCTCGGGCAGCGGCCTTGCATGCGTGCCACCCACACCCCTGCTTCCTGCCCCCCTCCTAGTGGCGGCCCCGACACCCTCAGCTCGTCTCACCATGGAGAGCGCGGCCCACGGCCAACACAGGCGCCCCCAGACACGCCCACCGCTCGGCTGCCGCAGACTCCCACATCAGGACATCAGGCCCCCCGCTCCGGTCGCCGCCGGGGCTCGCCGGCCTCCTGCAGGACCTCTGCTCGAGGCTCCGGCCACTCACTGTGCACCTGGTGACCTGGACGTCCCTCCCGCGGGTGGCCCTCCGTGTGGCGGGAGTGCGCTGTCCGTGCACAGCACCCCATCCAGAAGCCTTAGATCTGGCAGAGCCCAGCCTGGGCGCCCCCGCTGTCAGGCCAGGCCCTCCGAGCCCTGTGCGGCCACCCGCCCCTCCTCCACTGGGTCTCTCTCGCTGCCCAGCCCCATGGGGCCTTGTGTCCCCCACCCAGACCCCCGTCGCCTGGTTCGACCTCGGATGGCCTCTGTCCCACATTGTGTCCTGTGCAAGCTCACTGTGTCAGCACCTCCTGTCCTCCGCTCTGTGGGCACCAGGTGGCTCCACACGGGCTCACAGCCCCCCACTCTCCCGGCCAGCTCCCGAGACTGCCCAACGGGACGGCAGGGCTCTGGGCCTGCACCCAAATCCCAGCTCTGCCCTCAGAGCCCGCCCATGCAAGCGCCCCACCATCTGCGCTCTGCTCTGCGGCCCCACGCGTGTGGGGAGAGCGTGCCTGGCTGGCAGGCTCTGTTCGCTGTCCCCAAGGCCGACCGTGTAGCTCGGTAACGCTGTCTGTCGCGGTTGCCGCCGCCTGGCGCTCCGTGGGAACCCTGCTGACTCCTCTTCCCGTGGTGACAAGGCTTCCTGAGCTTCTTCCTTCCCGCTCCCTTCCCTTGGTCCCCCGAAAAAGGGCAGCCCTCCTCCGGGCCAAGGGGGACCCCTCTGTCCTCCTGTCCCCCCATCCTCATCCTCATGTCCTCATTCAGCTCCCCCACCTTGTCCTTTACCGGCCCCGGCCCCCCATCTCCCCTGTCCTCATCGGGGTCCCCGACTCTGCATCTAAAGCAATCATGGTGAGTGGTGAACCCTACAAACAACCACCTCTCAGAGCCGAGTCCCCCAGCAGTGTCCTCTCTCGGCCTCCACTTGTCTGCCCTTCGTCCCCCCACCCTGGGGACGCTGCCCCGAGGCCACACGCCCCGCCCACCAGCTGGCCTGGGCGCGTCCTGCCTCGACCCGCTTCCCCTGGCCTCCTGCTCTGCACTGCGCCCCCTCGGGTGGCTCTGTTTTGTCTTCCCCAAGTGAACCCGCAGCCCCTTGTCCCCCCATAACCCGATGGAGCTGACCTTGTCGTTTCCCGCCTGGACCCTTTCTGCTGCTTGCACCAACGCTGAGCAAAGCTGGACCCCTCCCCAGGCAGCCTGGGCCCCCCTCAGGCCCCCATCCTCTCCGCCTCACCCCCAGCACCCTGGCCCAGCCTGTCCCCTCAGCGTGTCCCATCCGCTGCGGCCAGAACACTTGTGCCCCCAGATTCATAGGGTGAGCCCTAACCCCATGGTGACAGTGTTAGGAGGTGGGGCCTCTGAGGGACGAGGAGGTCTTATGGCGGAGCCCTTATGAGTTGGATCTGTGTCCTCATGCGCCTGTCCCGAGCACTCCCTTGTCCCTCCCACCACGTGAGGAACAGCAGGAAGACAGCTCTATGAACCAGGAAGCGGCCTCTCGGGACACAGACTCTGCACCATGGTCTCAGACTTGCAGCCTCCCTCCTGGCACCCCGGCCTCCCCCCGGCCCCCCCACGGCCTCCCACACTGCAGCCCTGCCTGAGGACAGCCAGCCGGGGCCCCACTCAGGCCTGACCTCCAGACAAGCCCCGGCTGACCGCGCCTCCCGCCCCCAACTCAGTTCCTCAGAAAACTGCACCCCGGTCCCCGTGCCCCTTGCTTGGTCGCTGTCACAGTGACCTGCCTGCTCTTCTACTCAGGGGTTACACACCTCTCTCCCCATCGGGGCCGACTGTGCCTAGAAGGCCCCTCCAGCCCCGTGGTTCCAGCATCTAGCACGTGGGCCGTGCCACTGCTCAGGGAAGCTCTTCAAACAGAAAGCCACGAGGGGGCCACCATTCTTAGGGAAGAAAGTTGTGCCCGCGGCTGATTTCCTTCTTTTGTGTTCTGGGTCTGAATAAATGCTCAAATCCACGTAGGCACCTGCAGCGCCCTTGGCCCCCCCTGCTTGCCTCCTGCTCTAGGCTTGCTGCATGGTGCGTCACCTCCCCGGGGGCCCCGGGATGGCGGGTCCTCCGCCACCACGTGTCCCCCACACTGGCCTAGGTAGGGACCCCCGAGAGGAGACTCACCGTTGTTCTGTGTCTGCCAGACGGCATCGGCCACGCCCCAAAGGCCAGAAAACACGAAGAACACAGCCAGCTGGTGGGGGTGAGGTTTCCACAGCAAGAGGGCGATGATGCAAGACAGGTGGGTGACCGCGCCTGTGGGCACAGAGGGCAGAAACCAGCAGGAAGTGAGCGCAGCCCAGGGGAGGCTTGGACCAGGTGATGCTCAGGGAACCGCTTTGTTTGCTTCAACATATAAGTAATCTTTCCTGGAAACACCAAACAGCCTTCCTCAATTGGATTTTGACACTGAAAGTGCCAGCAGACCGGCTAGTGTGCCCTTCACAGTCTCTCACTGCAGGGCACACCTGGCGGGGGGAGGGGGGACCCACGAGTGTGCCCTTCACAGTCTCTCACTGCAGGGCGCACCTGGCAGGGGGACCCACGAGTGTGCCCTTCACAGTCTCTCACTGCAGGGCGCACCTGGCGGGGGGAGACACTCTGCTCATCTTTGGCCCCTCACCGTCCAGGCAGGGCTGGGGAGATGAGCCCCTGCGCCTTGCGGGGAGTGTCATCGTGCCCCAGCTGAGGAGACCCAAAGGGGCGGAAGGGAGTGCTGGGCTCTCAGTGAGTGCTGGGGGCATGGGGATGTCGCTGGGCTCCCCAGCAGGTGCTGATGTGAACAGAGAGGTGGGCAGAGCCACCAGGCTCCTTCCTCCTGACTTTATCCCAGTGTCAACAGTTCTGGCCTAGGGGTGCCTGGGTGGCTCAGTCGTTAAGCGTCTGCCTTCGGCTCAGGTCATGGTCCCAGGGTCCTGGGATCGAGCCCCGCATCGGGCTCCCTGCTTAGCGGGGAGCCTGCTTCTCTCTCCCCCACTCCCCGTGCTTGTGTTCCCTCTCTCGCTGTGTCTCTCTCTGTCAAATAAATAAATAAAATCTTAAAAAAAAAAAAAAAAGAGTTCTGGCCTCATGATTCCTGCGGACACTGGGGCGTCTATGACTACAATGTAGCATGGAACAGCTTATGACGTTGCAGAAAAGGGAGCTGCCTACTGCATTCACCGTGGCTGTGTGGCCTGGGGCCACTTGCCACCCTCCTCTGTTCCCGAATTTCTTCATCTGTAAAGTGGGCAGTGTCCACCCAGGGCGATCGGAAGGATGAAAGGGGAAAACCTATGCAGATGCCGCGGCCCCTGGTGGACGCTGACTAGTGCTTATTGCTTCTCCTCCTCGCTGTGTCCTGGCTGCAGACACGGGAGCCCGGACTGGGCACCCGGGTCACAGTCTTGTCAGTGCCCTTATTATTCACACGGTCTCTGCTTCTTCTTTCTCCTCTTCCCAAGAGACACAGAGGGTGAGGCATGCTTAGAACACAGTCTTGTCCCGCCAGGTGAGGACAGGAAGCCTCCCCGCCTGCCGCGCACACTCAGCCCACACACCCTGGCTGAGCTGAGCTGAGACCCCGTCCGCGCCCCGCCGTCCACCCGCCACCATTCCCACCCGCGGGCGCCGTCGGGTCCACCTACCCAGCGCGTAGAGAGCGATTCTACCCGTGTGCTGGGAGAGACTTCCGTACAGCACAGAGCACAGCGAGTTGGTGGCCGAGAAGCAGATCATCACGTACCCGACAAACTGGATCCCCAGGGCGCAGGTGGTGTAGGACTGCAGGGGAAGCACAGGGGAGGTTACCCGGCCGCGTGTGGTGTGCTGGCGAGTCTGGGCCAGGGATCACGGGTGACATGCGTTCTGCGGTGGGACGGCCGACGTGCTGGGCTGGCCTGGACCTTCGCCTAGGCCTCCTGCGCTCCCCCCCTCCGCCCCCGGTTCCGGGGAGGAGAACACGCCCAAGGTGGGTGGGAACTAACAAGGACAGACACCTGCACACAATTCTCCCCACGCAGCCTTTGCTGTATGTTGTGGGGTTCTTAGGAATTACGCGGGGCCCATTGGAGCAGTTCCTGGTGGAGTTGGTCATTTCCTATTCTGCTCACCAGACAGTTGACAGAGGGTGGGGAGGCATGAACAGGGGGAGCACAGAGCACTCTCGGGGCAGCAAAGCCTCTCGGAGTGACACCATAATGGTGGACGCGTGTCCTTACGCACGTGTCCGTACCCACAGAACGCAAGCACCAGGAGAGACCCCTAATGTGGGCGATGATGACCTATCATGGCAGGTTCACAGGTTGGCACAAGTGTCCCCTCTGGGCAGGATGTTGATAACGGGGAGGCTGTGCATGTGTGGGGCCAGGCACCTTCTGTCAACTTTGCCATGAACCTGAAACAGCTCCACAAATAAAATCCTAATAGAAAGGAAGCAGTTGTGAAGAAAATGAACAGGATCTCTGTGCAGACAAGAAGAAAGAGGGGAGCTCCTGCACCAGATGGTGGGGTACAGAGTGGCCCGCGCCCTCACGCCCACACCCGCCACTCCTGTCCTCAGGCAGAATCAGGACAGACACACAGACGAGTGGGCTGGACAGGAAGCTCTGCTGCCTTGGGATGGTGGGGGCTGTGGCTCAGGTCACATGCCACGTGGTCAACAGCAAAGCCCACGGGAGGGGCCGTGGCCAAATGCCAAAGGACTGTTTTGTCATTTTTGTCTTTAGTCTTTGGAACTCCAAGACTCTCCGTCAAGACTGTCCCAGGAGCGGGGGGGACCAGAGAGAATCTATGACGCACGCATCCTGCATGGAGCATATGTGTCCTAAAAGATATTTGTGGTTAACCTGAAATTCAGATTTAACTGGGCATCTGGCTAGTTCGGCACGTCTACCTGGGAGGGAGCTGTGGTGGGCACGAAGCTAGAGAAGTTTCCTGGTCAAGGAAGGGCAATCCTCAAGGAGCAGCCTTGCTCCTGGCTCTCCGGCCCCTTGGCACCCCAGCTCCCAACCAGCACTTCCTGGAAAAGGGGGTCTCCGCTCTCTACCACCCCTGTCTGAGGCATCCCTCCCATGGCACCCCGGGACGATCTTCAGGACATGAAGCACGTGGGTGGGGAGCTATGGAGGCAAAACCTCCGTGAGCATGCCGCGGCCGCGAGGGATGGTGGTGGACGGTGGCCTCGCATTCCTGCTGTGCCAGCCCTGGGGGACAGGTGTCTCTCTGTTGGCCTGCCCCCAGAGAGGCCTTCCCTATGCACGACGTGGGCAGGCAGGCGTCTAGGGAGAGACAGGGCGACAGTGCCCGAGAGCCAATCCATTGCCAGATTGAAAGGCATAATTTGAAAACTAGCATGGGAAGGAATTCCAGTGTTCCTCGTGGGTTTCATGTTTTTCCCTAAAAGAAGGGCAAAGCATGAGCTGCAGGCAGGCTTAACACAAGGAAGTATTACAGGTGATGACTCCCGGAGAGCTTGGGCCCTTTCCCTGAAGACACCTCTGCAGTGAGAGCTGGTCCCTGGAGATGAGGCCGAGCTCCGGGGGGACGGGGGCAGTGACCTGGACGCTGAGCTCCTGAACCAAAGGCTCCGCTCTCCAGCCCCAGCAGCTGCGCCCCCCACCCGGCCCCAGGGCAGGGGCCCCGAGACGCACGGGTGTTGGGGTGCGCGTCCCTGCAGTTCTCTCGTACCCTGGTGTAGTCGCCCGCGAGGAAGGCTTGCTCACATCCGCTGTACAGAGGCAGCAGCCCCAGGAGGCACAGGCGCTTGTCTCGAAGAAGCCTGAGGGTGGACAGCAGGGTGGACCAAAAAGGTAACTTCTTCTCTCCTTCACTTTCCTGCTGAGCATCTTTGATGGGTTCGAGAAACATGGCAATGAGCAGGACCGCCAGGATGCCGCTCCCTGGAGGGAAGACAGAGGGCTGGTGCTGGGGGGCTCACAGGAGCTGGGAGCCACCGGCTACTCCTCTCCTTTGGGGCATTGGTTTCAAATCCTGCTTTAAGTGAAGCAAGGCTGCCGAGCCCGAGCAGAGCCTCCGGCCCGCACCACACACCTGCGAGACACCGGGGCCCTCTGCGCCCCTCACCGCCACTGTTCCCTCATCCTCACCCTCAGGTAACTGCCAGCAAGAGCCAGTCTCCCTTCTCAGGACCACAAGTCCTACGAGGTTATCACTTGCTGAGCTTTATGTTTATTGTTTCCCCACAACAGGGGAGGGTGGGAACTGGGTGCATCCCGAACACAAGGGGATACTGCTCGTTCGAAGACAAGGAACGAAGCAGCTCCTTATACGCTAAGGTGGGCAATCCCCACGGGGAGCAGCTGAGGGAAAGACCCATGCGGAGCTGCTTGCCTTCAGGGAGGAAGGGCGTGAGGCACGCTGTCACACGGGCCGCTGGGTCCAGGAATGACCGACTGGGGGTGGTCTCGGCCAGACCGGCCAGGAGGAGGGACAGAGGGGGCTTTCCCTCTCCCCGGGGGTGCGTTTTGAACCACGTGAATGGGCTGACTATGCAAACACACTCCATTCAAGACAACTATTCGCTGCCCCAGAGGTACACCTGTGCCCTCCTAATCCCACGGGTGTGACTGCCCCTCTTTCTGCACCCCTGTGTTATTTGGATCGAGGGCTAGTATTTACTCCTTTTCCTCTTTACCCAGAAGCCCTCTCAGTCCTCCCCGGTTTTAGGATATCCGTGTACCAGTGTCAGGTTTCCGTCTCTGGCAACACTAACGACACTCAGTGCTCTGGGAGCCACAGATCAGCCAAGAGCCTGATGCTTTTCCCGCTTCTCTGAAAGGTAGTGAAAACCCCTCAGAACGGTTTTCAGCCGCCATTATAGTCTGAGAGCTTAGGCCGATCATCCTCTAAAGAGGACTTGAATTATTTTTTCTCTTTGCTTCATCTCACCAGCCTGATGTGACACCGTGTGGCAGCCGGGGGGTTCCTGGGACCACCAGGTTCACAAAGCCAGCCCCTCCCAAGCTGTGGGCAGAGCTGGTGAAGGCACGCAGCGGGGAACCTCATGTGGGGGGTGAGGATGCAGAAAATGCATTTCCATGGCCTGGGCTGTTCCTTGAGACCAACAATCCCCACCGTTGTAACTTTGGAACAGTATTTTTAATTTGTGAATAAAAATATAAATAAGCACACATGGCCACTGGCTACTGTATTGAACTTTGCAAAAGAAAAACGATTCTATCATCACAGGAAACTGTTAGATAGCCCTGTTCTGCTGTATTTGATTTCATATGAAGAATACCTGAGTGCAACCCAGCTGAACACATTTTGCAGGAATACTTGCACTTTGGAAGATACTGTTTTTCAACACAGGAAAGAGTTAGGTTTGCTTTCCCTGGGGCTCCACCCTCTGTGAGCACGTACCCGTGTAGATGCCCAGCAGGGTGTAGACGAGCATCTGCGAGGGACGCTGGGTGCTGTTGGTGGACGCCGCGGCCATCAGGCAGTCACTGGCCCCACAAGACAGGAGCTGCTCCTCTGGGATGGCCTCTGTGCCATCGGAAGCAAAAAGGTGACATGAGAACACAGGAAACGGATAGGACCAGGGGCATGAGGAATGAATTGCGTGGCTAACAGGAGCCTGGACACCCCACAGGCAAGAGTCACGATAGGTCAAAGTCAGGGGATGTGGGCTTGTGTGACCAAGTACCTCAAAACACACTTCCTCTTGGGCACACATCTGTAGGCGTGATTTTAGACACGAGACAAATGAGCCATAAATGCTGGCTGCTTGTTGTATGACTTTCTGGACATAAGGAAAATGCTCACCGTTTCCAAACTACTCAAGAAGAAATAAGGTACATTAGCATTAGAATAGGCATCAGACTCTCAGACCACGTCAGAGTCTCTGGAGAGAGGGGGGAGATGTCACGGGAGAAAGAACAGTTGTCATAATAGAAATCTCATCACATAGAACTTGGCTGGTGATGTCTGCAGCACAGACAATGAGAGGCGGGTTGGAGGGAGGCGGAGAAGCCTTGCAGGGCTCTTGGGATGCCTCACTCCTCGGAGTCTGTGTCTGGAGATCGCTTGGAGAATTAAGTTCACTTGCCTGAATGTCTTTAAAAGTAAAGCTGTTCACATGAGAGAAGATGGACTCTGAAAAACAAACTGAGGGTTCTAGAGGGGAGGGGGGTGGGAGGATGGGTTGGCCTGGTGGTGGGTATTGAG